CTGGAAATCAGTGAATGGCAGCCGCAACCCTAGGTCTTTGAACGCGATCTCATACATCGCGAGGCTGTAATTCGGATAAACCGAGCAAATCCTTGCACGGGTTGACGGAATCATGACCACGAAGTTCTTCTGGAAGCCGGGCTGGTCTTGACCCTCTTCAATGACATCGAATGGATGTCGGTCATCCCGGCTATATACCGACGCTATCCCCCGCGGCTCGACGCCCACCCATTCCAACAAAGGGTCGGTCACGGTATCAATCAGGGTGACCGACTCGTCGGCACTCTGTTCTTCACGGTCGCGGCGTCCGGAGGAGCTCGGCTCGTCCGCCATGGTTACATGCAGAGCACGGGAAACCAGTCAGTTGAGCACGAAGTCCTACGCTCGAAAAAATCATGTCGTCCCATACACGACTACATAAGTCCGTTTCCACTAATGGTTGCCTCCCCGACGTCCTGAACCCGGTACTCTTCCTCAAACCAACTGCGCGGCCACTCTCCAAGCATGTCGGCCCGAGGTATGAACATGGCGAGCCGCACCATGAAGCCCACGGCCAAGACCATGAACATACCGGGCGCGATCATGAATCAGGCGCCCTAGATCATGAAGACCCCGGGCAGCTCTGAAGTTTATCACCTAAAACTATGAATGTGCCGACCACAAACATGCGTTTGCCGGTCCTAGACATGAATGTGTCGGGCTAAGCATGGTTTTACCGGGCTAATCCCACGCGCACGGTCCTAAAACATCTACAAACACCAGAAATCGTGCATTCTAAACAGAAAAATGAAGAAGATAGATCACTTACTTGGATCAAAGAGTGGGATTTGGCTACGAAATGGAAGAATCTGTAACGGAAAGTCGCGACTGGAGAAAGTCTGGAAGAGCAGCAGCAGAGAGAGCACAAAGAGCAGAAAATGTATTATGGGGCCCAAGGTTCCTATTTATAGTGATGACGTGGAATACCAAACGTCACATCGGGCAACCACGAACTCCATCTCCTCGACGCGCTGCTCCCAACGCAATGATGACCCTACCCCCATAGGGTGGCGGCACAGTTCCCGAAAGATACCTCGTGTGCTCGACCGACGCGCCCGGTAAGGATCCTCCGCGCATCCACCACCGAGGAAGTCTCCGAGCACGACACGAGGAGGCCCCTCGAGGGCCCACACCTCTATCCCGGGGCACGAGACCTCAACGAGGGAATAACTTGGATTCAAGTCATGGCTCCTCGCAAAGGAACCACGACTTGGGGGGCTCCTGTTCTGGACTGGGCCCGACAGGCCCAAAAGCATTCCTAAGGCCCAGTCCAAAGGGACTTACTGAGGACCACGCCGAGCAAAGGGGCCACATCCGTGCCCGACATCATGATGTCCAGCTCGACATCCTGCTGTCCAGCTCCACGTGGTGATGTCCAGTTCCACCTCCTGCTGTCCAGCTCGATACCCTGCCGTCCAGCTCCACGACCTGGCGTCCAGCTCGACACCTTGCTGTCCGGCTCGACCTCCCCTCGAGCATCCCAACTAGGGCAGACTCAGTCCACCGTTCCCCCAACGATATCCCGGAAAGACCGCGTCTTCGTCCGCCCACACTTCACGCAGAACATCCAGGAAGGGGACCACGTGCGGGTCCCCACTACCCACGTACAACCTGCCAGTTCCTCCATTGGGCCAAATCCGCCCGGCCCAATGAAGGAACCTTGGCCCAGCGTTGGGGGCTATAAATACCCTCTGTTTCCAGAGGGTCAGGTATTGATCATTCTAACCTCAACTTACTATTATCTGCTCGTACTCCTACTTACTTCAGCATCAGAGTGCCTTGCAGGTACCCCCCCCACCTCGTTCAAAAAAGCTTTCTGCTCGGAGCCAGCCGTGACGGTCCATTTCTGATCAGGTCAGATCAGTTATTAATATGGTGTTTTTTCTTGGGCTGTTTTTCAGGTTTGTTTAACCTCTGTTCGACATTTCCACTGGGTTTGCATTTCTCAAAGTGATGGATGAAGGAAAGCTTGCAAAAGTTGAGGTACGACAATTTATGATATAGAATACAAAATTTTTACACAGATTTAGTGATGTTAGTGAGGAACCTAAACCAATCCTAATATTTTCAATATTGTTGATTTGTCTTATATTTAGTGATTCATAGAACAAGAACACATTTGTTGGGTGTAATTTAGTGATTTTTTGGTAATGCAAATATGGTGATGAACTTGGAATTGATTGTTTCAGATGTTCCATAAACAAAATGTGAATCATAGAGATCTAAAGCTTCAAAAAAATTTTGTTTACAAATAAGAAGGAAACAATATTGTTGCAACCATCCAACCAAGATCGACTGCGAGTCTGTAACCGTTCTCTCTTTGTGTTTTATTTTAGTAAAATTGAATATTTATAACAATGGTTTGACAGGTACACCTTTCTTTGAATTTGAATTTTTATTGATGTATTGTGAGTTATGGATATGGAAATTGAAATCTTCTAGTTTGATTGATGTTTGTAACTGGTTTTGTCAGGTTAGATTTGAAGTTTATGAGGCTATAAGATTATGAAAATAGGCTTATAAGTTGAAGTTTGATGATGTCTTGGATATGTTAGAAGTTATTGTTATTGTAAAAACATGAATAAAAAAAAGTGAGAATGGATTTTTGTGATTGTACTTTGGTTAAAGATAAAAAAATTATGTACAATATGTTTTTGCTCTTTTGTTCACTCTATTTTTTTCTTCTAATGTTTTTGTTCTTACTCCTCAATAGAGTTTAATTTTTATATTACCATGTTACACCCATTTTAATATTTTTTGTGAGTATGTGTAAATATTTGTTAATGTTATATGCGAGTGTGAGAATTGTTGAAATTTGTGAATGGACTCAAAATAAAGTTTTATGTGTTATGAAAAAAAAGTGGCCTCCTTTACTGAGAAAAACGGTCAACTATTTATAACAAAAATTAGGTTAAAATAAAAAAAAGCAGTAATCAAATAATCGAATAACATAATCAAAAATTAACATTAAATTAATTTTTATTTCAATTCTGAATATATTTAAATCAATTGTATTGATTTTTCCCTAAAATAAAATATATATATAAAAAGTGCAACTTTATAAAATTGAACAAAATTTTTTTTCCTTTCTTAAAAGGTAGAAATAATGAAAAAATATTTTAAAAAAATTCTAAATAAAAAAAATTTGATTAAAAATAAGAGAAAAATACTTTTCTAATCTAATTGAAATATATAAACTTCAATGGAGGATGCTGCAATTTCATCTGAGATACGTTCTTAATATGGTGTTTTTTTCTGCTATTTTTCAGGTTTGTTTAACGTCATAAAATGCTTCTCCTGTTCGAAATTACCGTGGGGTTTGCACTTCTAAAATTGATTAATGGAGGAAAGCTTGCTAAAGTTGAGGTACGGAAATTTATCATATATAATACAATTTTTTTACACAGGTTTAGTGATTTGTCTTATATTTAGTGATTTATGGAACATAAATAACTTTGACATTGTATAATTTGTTTTTTCAAGTTTCTAATGCTGTGTGGATTCTTTGTTTTATCATTTGCATTAATGTGCTTGTGATTTTTTCGTAATGCAAATAAGGTGATGGATCTTGGGGTTGTATGTTTGTTTGCAAATAAGAAAGAAACAATATTTTTGAAAGCTATAGATTTTGTATTGTCAATAACTATTATTTTTATTAAAACATCACCGATTGCAATCACTACAATAGATGCAACCAAGATCTACTGCCAATCTGCCACCGTTCCCTCTTTGTGTCTTATTTAAGTAAAATTGAACATTTAAGTACACCTTTATTAGGATTTGAATTTTTATTGATGTATTGTAAGTTAAATCGTTTAGTTTGAGTGATGTTTGCACTAGTGCAGAAATGACTTTTTACATCGGGTGAAACTGACTTTTTACATCGGTTCTGGGTCCGATGTAAAGTCTGGCGATATAGTAAATCAGGTACTTTTTACATCGGTTCTGGGACCGATGTAAAAAGTCCATTTTTTACATCGGTTATAATATAAAAATGATGTAAGAAATAGTTATTACAATATTTAAAAAAAAATGATGTAATTTTTTACATCGGTTGGAAGTAATACCCGATGTAAAAAGTCTTTTTTTTACATCGGTTATAATATAAAAATGATGTAAGAAATAGTTATTATACACATTTTTTTAAAAAATTGATCCAGTTTTTTACATCGGTTGGTAGTAATACCCGATGTAAAAAGTCCCTAGTGACGCAACTTTTTACATTCTAAGAACCGCTTTCAGTCTGGTGCACATCACACCTCACACTCAAAATAATAGATAATTTTTGTTCATAAATTCAAACCACTAGAGTGTATTGAGTCCATTGTAGCGCCCATTTTCACTTATTAGTTTTAGAGTTCGGGATATGGGGGAAATATAGTAAAAAAACAAATGAAGATGATAATAATGTTGTGAACACTTAAAGAGATGAAGAACTTTAACTAAAAATAGTAATAAAGAACAGGAGAGTTTTCATCTTTTTAGTTTTCATCTTTTTTAACATAAGTGAGAAGTTGCAATTAGGGGTATAACTTTCCTACTTGCAGCTTTTTTTCTTCTTTATTTAGGTTAAAAATAGTGGGGACGCTACATTGTAGAAAGAAAACAAAAACATTACATTCAGTAGAGAACTTCGTAAACAATATTAGTTGTTAATGTGCTAGCACAACCACATAGGTTAAACCTTGCAATTTAAATAAAAATCATATAAAATTCAATTATTTAAACTGGGTGTAAAATAGTTTTGCACACATCCTCAATCATATCTGATTAAGGTTAACCTAACAAGTAATAACCTTTTACTCATTGGCCCCTCGTAAGGTCTTTCAAAACTGTCAATGCTCTAAAATTCACTAAATGAAATATAATACAGCTCCGTTGAATAAAGGGGCTAAGATAAAAATGTGGTGGAATAGCATTTTCCTAACAATACTAAAAATGTTTCCAAGAGAAATTTACCCCTAAAATGTAAAGTACCGAAAATGTTTAGCCTGAACAAGCTGGTGAAGAATACAAGCTTCAACCTCTGCCATTACTAGGACATAAAATGAGTTGGAGCGAAAGCAGGCAAAATGGACAGGTCTAAACGATTTAACCACACTGGGCCCAAACGAATCAATAAAGGAAGTGATCCCATCAAACCATAAGGAACTGTGAGAGCATACATTCACAGCATTTGGGGTTTGACATCATTGACATGTAGACATGGATAATAACGCACAAACTGATAGTCACACTAGAACAACAGATTCTAACAATACACATTTAGAGTACGCACAAACTTAAAGTTGCAGTATCAACTCAATAATAAACAAGTTTTCCTTACCCTGTTCACAGATAGAAACAACGCAAGCTAACCACATCTCACCTAGATCCACCAGCATACCTCTTGTCTGGGCTATAAGGAGAATGGGGAATAGACCTTGATCTCTGCCTCCTAGACCTCCCAACATAGGGTGAGCGCTGTGGTGAATGATCTAGGCCTCCGTGGTATGGTGAACGCCTTGGAGATCTACGATGTGGATAATCACCACGACCAGAACCACTGTAATTCCTTCCCCGGTCACCACGATTGTCGCCACGAAATTCACCACGGCCACTGCCACGAAAGTCACCACGACTGCTGCCACGAAACTCACCACGACTGTCGCCACGATAGTCACCACGACTGTCGCCACGATAGTCACCGCGATTTCCGCCACGATAGTCATCACGATTATCACCACGAGAGCCTTCACAAAAAAAAAAGGTAGACTTCAGGAAATGAAGTACGAAAAATGCAAAAAGAACATATTCACCATTCAAGATAGATGTCTCTCAATCAAACTTACCATAGTCTCTAGTATTCTTCAGCCCAAGATAGTGCCCTGGTGTTGGAGTTCTTGCATGCTTTCTTCTTGACTGAAACAATACAGGAGCTCAATCAGTAGTGCTTCAATGATATAAAACACATATCAACAGAATACTAATGAAAGCAAGTAAACTCTTGTGACATCTTTTTTGTCTGTTCTATGAAGTAACATTTTTAAATTATATTAATAGAATCCTCTAAAGGAATTTTCATCAAGGATTAGAGGTAAAAGAGGCCAGCTTCTAAAAAAGGGAGGAAAAATCATTTCCACGAGCGCGTGATTAGTTCCAGGTGTGAGATACCATAAAAAAGGCTGATTATAAAGTTGTTGAAAATGTCCGTTGTTTAGTTGAGAGTTGAAAGTGAATGCTGAGGTTGAAAGGTTGAATGGGCAATATAGTTGATATGTTTAAGTTAATCAGTAGCATTTGATTAGCTGTCTAAGCTTGCCATTGATTTAGCAGTTTCACTATATTTGCATCGATGAAAGAAAAGAAAAGTACATTTGTTTTACCAACCACTGTCACAAGTGAAAAGTAAATACATTACCCGTTCTACGGTGACATAGCGGCCCTCTAAAACTGATTGGTTGAGATGCTTGATACACCGCTCAGCATCCTCGTGGGAATCCATAGTAACAAAAGTAAAACCACGAGAAATTCAGGTACGTGGCTCCACTACAAGAAAGCATGAAGCAACCTATAGATGAAAAAACATCCTTTGAATAAAATTATTCCAGGAGGAAGCAACCTACTGAAGAAAAGAACCATTGAATAAATGAATAGAAATACGATATGCTACTCACTTTTCCCTCCTTGGAAAAATGGTCCTCTAGGTCCCTCTCAATGACCCTTGAAGATAGACCAGTAACATAAAGTGTATTACCAGGATTTGTAGGATTGGCCGCCCTGCAATACAATTGATACGATGAAAGTTAATAGCATATCAATAGACCCAAGTTAACACAAAAGCACAACTATCCCTTTGAGAAGTAATAGTTAAGAAGTATGGCTTTCGGCAATGAATCACAGCAGGATTAAAAACATAAACAGAAAAAGGACCAACCTTTCCGGGCTCCGAGACCTTGATCTGAAAAAGAAGAAAAAAACCATCCATTCCAGAGTGATAATGAGAGGTCAGAAAAGTAAAAAGTGTCAGAAACAAAGAGAGCTAGAGAAGTCGGTTTATAAAATAAAATATAACCCCTTTAAAGCTAAACCGTTTTTTCTATTAACCTGCCACGGCCTCTGGAGTCAGATCTTGGTCTTTGTCTAGGCACAGACCTCGACCTTGATCTCGATCGTGATCTTGATTGAGCCTTCCAGGGTGACGGTGAAGGGGACTTTGAAATCCTGAAATACCATTATGCCCAGAGAGAAAATAACCTCATTGTGAGTAGAATCCAAAACAAATTTATATGTATGTGTATGTGTAACATCATAAACATTGCGTCTCATAAAAAGACTAGTGGTGCAAGATGTGTAAGATAATAGTGGTGCAAGATGCCCAGGACAGACAACAGTTACCTGGATTCCTTTCTGACAGAGCTGCCACCATAAAAAGATTAGTGGTGCAAGATGTGTATTGTAAGATAATAGTTGGATAAAACAACATCAAAGATAATAAAAACTATCTATATACCTCTGAACGCAAGGAATGGAAGTACCCATTTAATGCAAATTTAGAAGCCGAGTATATAGCCTGACCTGGGGCAGGTGTCTTTCCTGCTGCACTACTCATCTGACGATAAATATAGAACAAAATGGTGTAAACTTATGAAGAGGAAATGGAGATGAAATTTAAGATATCTAATGTACTCCAACAACACACGTTAGTTATGACCCTGGTCAGAAAGACAGAAACTAACACACAACGTAATGCATATATGCCAATATATTATAACCAAACGGTTAAAGTTGTGATTGTTCATTCAAGGATAAAATGTAAATGAAAAGCGAACTAGTGACTACTCTCTACTGTTTACTTGTGTGTGTCTCTGTTAATATTAATAAACAAATTTAGTCACAAACATCTTCTGCAAGCTCCACCCCTATGATGTATTTTAACCACTCATCAAAATCCCTAACCTAACCTAACCCATAACTAACTAGAAAACCTAACCTATATTTTGAATAAGTCACATTATGGATCAAATAAGTGAAGAATGTGACTTACAGTTGAAACGGCGAGCGAGGAAGGGCGTGAATCGTCCGGTGAAAAGTCGTGAACGGCGTGAACGGCGGCGAGGAGAAGTGAAACGGCAGCAAGGAGATGTGAAACAGCGGCAAGGAGACGTAATCAAATTTCATACCTTAAATACTTTCCACTTCTTAGCATCAAATGCTTAAGAAATCCTACGTGTGAATGAACATTGTAAGGAGAGAAACCAAGTTGTGGATCCCTCCAACACTCTTGAATAGCTGCAAGAACCTATTCAAATGTTCAAGTTAAAGCATGAGCAGAGTGTAATAAACTTCCCAGTTGTGATAGGAAATGAAATAAGTGTAGGATATTGTCACAGAAACAAGTAACAGTTGAATCCCAAAAAAAAAATTATTAATAACATTCCATACCTTATTAGCAGGATCAGTTTGGAGTAAGCATTTGTCAACGTTTATAATCTTATCAAAAAAACCAGGAACATGCAATCCAAGTGCATAATTCTCACTTCCACCATCAACATTTCCTTCGTGCAACAACTCTTTAGGCAACCATTTATAAGGACCAAACGAGAATTCCATCTAGACAAGAAAGAAAACAGACCACAACACATCTTAATTATCAACTAAATGCATCTGCATCAGACATTTAGTTTTTGAAAAACAAAACCAAACAGAGCAATAACTGACTAACTAACCAACCTTGTTCCTATAATAAAATTGAATATCAAAAGGAACAATAGGCTTCATAATCCCATGCAATTCCAATTCTTTCTGAGAAAACCTTCCAACATGTATGATTAAGTCGCGAACCTGTTTGTATAAAGAGCTTAATTAATTGCTTATAGATTATAAAATCAAACTGTTTCTATATAAACTATAAAGTGTTAGCATAAGCTATCATGCCGAATCTATGAAGATGTTATAGCATATTTTACAAATTCTTCCTAATGGTCTCACAAAAGTGCATATACGACACTAGATAAGTTGGAATAGACGAATCGAAATATCTTGTATGTCACAAACCTGTTCCTCTTTAGCTTTAACCTGAGCTTGATAAGACAAATTCTGCGTCTTGCAACCACCATAATGAGGAACATAGACACAAGGAGGATATACAGTATGAAAAGGAGGAGTTAAAGTTTGAAGCTTAGTAGCTTCAGCGTAATTACCCTTTTTCCGAGTGATACGTCCGATGAAGCGTTCGTCGGGGAGGGCACGGTCGCACATGACAAAATAACCGGTTTCGGCGACTTTGCATAGACCTTTGCCTTTGAATGTGAGGGATTCACAGAGCAATTCGAGGGTTTGGCCGCGTTTAGGGAAATAGGAAGTGGCATTGGAATTACGGGTGGTGTTGGGTTGGGGTTGTGGTTGTGGTTGTGGAATGGAACATGAGAGAGTAGAGAGAGGAAAACGATAAAAGGGAGATGAAGATGAAGAGGTGATGGGAATTTGAATGGAACCTATTACCCGATGTAAGGGTTTGGAACCTATTACATCGGTGGAACCTCTTACCCGATGTAAGGTTTTGAGCCTAAGCAGTTTCTTACATCGGTTATTTGGTGGACCGATGCAAGCGTCTTTTTATTAGTTTTTTACATCGGTTTAAAATACGCCCGATGTAATTTTTTTAATATATTTTATATATTAAAAATCTGCCTGTGAACCTATTACATCGGTTTTTAGTTAAACCGATGTAATATCTTGCTTGTTTTTTATTTACATTTCTGTCACCTTGTTTCTTATTTACAAAAATGCCACCGTATTTTTTTCTGAAAACCTTTTACATCGGTGGATGAGATTGCCCGATGTAATAGGTAGCGAAATATATTTTTTTCTTATTTTTTATATCATTGCAAATAAATACCTGATGTAAAAAGTTTGTTAATTGTATTTTTTTACATCATATATTTTGATACCCGATGTAAAAACCTTTTCTCAAATTTCTTTTTTTAGTAGTGTTGTAATTGGTTGTCATTTTGGATTTGAAGTTTATGAGTCTAGAAGATGATGAAAATAGGCATACGATTTGAAGTTTGATGATGTCTTGGATATGTTAGGAGTTATTGTTTTTGTTATTTTGTTTTTTTGGTTTGTATAGGTTTATCAAATTTGGTTAATGTGATGGTAAAAAAAACATGATTGAAAAGAAGTGAGAATGGATTTTTTTATTGTACTTTGGTTCAAAATGAAAAAGTGATGTACAATATGTTTTTGTGACTCTGTTCACTCTATTTTCTCCTCTAATGTTTTTGTTCTTGCTCCTCAATACAGCTTAATTGCTCCTCAATACAGCTTAATTTTAGTCAATGCTTGTTGGTAGAGTTTTACGTTCATTTTAATTTTTTATGAGTATGTGTGAATATTTTTGAATGTTACACGTCAGTGTGAGAAATGTTGAACTTTGTGAATGGACTCAAAATAAGGTTTTGTGTGTTATGAAAAAAAGTGGCCTCCTTTACTGCGAAAAACATTCAACTATTTATAACAAAAATTAGGTTAAAATAAAAAAAAACAATAATTAAATAATTAAATAGCATATCAAAAATTAACATCAAATTAATTTTTATTTCAATTATTAATATATTTAAATCAATTGTATTGTTTTATTCCCTAAAATAAAATATATCTTAAAAATGCAAATTTAAAAAAATGAACAAAATCTTTCTTTCCTTTTTTATATTTTTATAATTAATTTGCTATGTTATTAATAAAAGTTAGAAATAATGAAAAATATAAATTTAGAAAAAAATGTCTAAATATAAAAAATTGATTAAAAATAAGAGAAAATAGAATTCTAATCTAATATAAATACATAAACATCAATGGGGAATGTTGCGATTTTATAAATAGAACAAAAAAATATTTATCATTACAAATATATTTGTCATTATAAATATTTTTATTTCTTATTGTAAATATATTGTGAGTTATGGATAGGGAAATTCAAATCTTCTAGTTTGATTGATGTTTGTAACTGATTTTGTCAAGTTGGATTTGGAGTTTATGAGGCTAGAAGATTATGAAAATAGGCTTATAAGTTGAAGTTTGATGATCTCTGGAATATGTTGGGAGTTATTGTAAATGTAAAAATGTGATTGAAAAGAAGTGAGAATGGATTTTTGTGATTGTACTTTGGTTAAAGATAAAAAATTTATGTACAATATGTTTTTCTCTTTTGTTCACTCTATTTTCTTCTTCTAATGTTTTTGTTCTTGCTCCTCAATACAATTTAATTTTTGTCATACCATGTTACACCCATTTTAATATTTTTTGTGAGTATGTGTGAATATTTGTTAATGTTATACGTGAGTGTGAGAATTGTTGAAATTTGGGAATGGACTTGAAATAAAGTTTTATGTGTTATGAAAACAAAATGGCCTCCTTTACTGAGAAAAACTGTCAACTATTTATAAAAATAATGATGTTAAAATTAAAAAAGAATTAATTAAATATTCGAATAAAATAATTAAAAATTAACAATAAATTAATTTTTATTTCAATTCTTAATATATTTAATTCAATTGTTTTGATTTTTCCCTAAAATAAAATATATCTTAAAAGTGCAACTTTATAAAATTGAACATTTTTTTTCCTTTTTTATTTAAAAATGTATTTTCCATGTAATTAATAAAAGGTAGAAATAATGAAAAAAAAATTTAAAAAAAAATCTAAATAAAATGTTTTTTGATTAATAATAAGAGAAAAATACAATTCTAATCTAATTGAAATATATAAACTTCAATGGCGGATGTTGCGATTTCATGTTTGCATTTCTTTTCTCATGGGTGGAAGATAGCAAATGTTTTTTCAAACTCTACATCTGAGTTTTGTTATTAATATGGTGTTTTTTCTTGCGCTAACATCATAAAATGCTTCTCCTTTTCGAAATTGCCACTGAGTTTGCACTTCTCAAAGTGATGGATAAAGGAAAGCTTGCAAAAGTTGAGGTACAACAATTTATCATATAGAATAGTTTTTTAATTTGCATTGATGTGCTTGGGATATTTTGGTAATGCAAATATGGTGATGAATCTTGGGATTGTTTGTTTCATATATGCCATAAACATGATGTGATTCTTAGAGATCTCAAGCTTCGGAAATTTTTTGTTTGCAAATAAGAAGGAATAAACAGTTTTGGAAGCCGTAGATTTTGGATTGTCAATTGTTATCACTTTTGTTGTATTTGGTTCGTAGTAGTTTGTCAAATTTTGTTAATGTGCGTGCAAAAAAAATGTGATTGAAAAGAAATGGGAAGAAGTGGGAATGGATTTTTGTGATTGTACTTTGGTTCAAGATAAGATTTTTGTGATTGTACTTTAATTTTAATTTGTGTGAGTATGTGTGAATACCAGAGTGTGAGAATCGTTGAAATATGTGAATAGACTCAAAATAAGATTTTGTGTGTTATGAAAAACAAAAGTGACCTCCTTTACTGAGAAAACTGTCAACTATTAATAACAAAAATTAGGATAAAATAAAAAAAGAAATAATTAAATAATTGATTAACATAATCTAAAGTTAAAATTAAATTAATTTTGATTTCAATTCTTAATATTTAAATCAATTGTATAGATTTCTTCCCTAAAATAAAATATATCTAAACAGTGCAACATTAAAAAATTGAACATAAATTTTTTTTCCTTTTGTTATTTTTATAATTATTTTGCTATGTTATTAATAAAAGGTAGAAATAATGAAAAACTAATATTTAAAAAAAAACTGTCTAAATAAAAAAAATCTAAAATTGATTAAAAATAAGAGAAAAATACAATTCTAATCTAATATAAATATATAAACTTCAAAGCACCTGGAATTACCAAGTTTAACCAAAAATATTAGATCCTAACTTTTACTAATTCCATGGGTAATATGGTCTTATTCCAATAATTCTTAATTTATATTCATTTAGCATTTAATGATGATGATGTGTCTTGCCAATAATTTTTCATACATTTTTAATTTTAATTTATTTTATTAATTATTATGAATTACACCAATAATCAATTTTGTAGGGACCAATTTAAGTTAAATTTGTATAATACATAATCATGTTTAACTATAGAACCATTGAGTAATGCAAATATGGTGATGAATCTTTGAATTGTTTGGTGCAGATGTGCCATAAACATGATGCGATTCATAGACATCTAAAGCTTCAGAAATTTTAATTGAATATTTATAACAATGGTTTGACAGGTACACCTTTCTTTGAATTTGAACTTTTATTGATGTATTGTGACTTATGGATGTGGAAATTGAAATCGTTTAGTTTGAGTGATGTTTATAACTGGTTTTGTCAGGTTGAATTTGAAGTTTATGAGGCTAGAAGATATGATATTAGACTTATGAGTTGAAGTTTGATGATGTCTTGGATAGATTTGGAGTTATTGTTACTGTAAAAGCAATAACACTTAAAAAAGTGTTGGTTTGAATAATTTTGTGTTGTATTTAATTTGTAGAAGTTTGTCAAATTTATTTAATGTGAAGTTGGTTTGCATAATTTTGTGTTGTATTTGATTTGTAGAAGTTTGTCAAATTTGGTTAATGAGAGAGTAAAAAAAACGTGATTGAAAAGAAGTGAGAATGGATTTTTGTGATTGTACTTCCTAGATTGTTATTGATCTTGTTATACGTGAGTGTGAGAATTGTTGAAATTTATGAATGGACGCAAAATAAGGTTTTGTGTGTTAGGAAAAAAAGTGGCCTCCTTTAATGAGATAAACAATAAACTATTTATAATAAAAATTAGGTTAAAATAAAAAAAAGAAATAATTAAATAATTAAATAACATAATTATAAATTAAAATTAAATTAATTTTAATTTCAATTCTTAATATATTCAAATCAATTGTATTGATTTTTTCCCCTAAAATGAAATATATTTTAAAAGTCCAACTTTCAAAAATCAAACAACATTTAATTTTTCCTTTTTTTTATTTTTATAATTATTTTGCTATGTTATTAATAAAAGGTGGAAAAAATGAAAAATTAATATTTTTAAAAAAAATGTCTAAGTAAAAAATTAAAAATTGATTAAAAATAATAGAAAAATACAATTCTAATGTAATATAAATATATAAACTTCAAAGTACCCGAAAGTACCAAGTTTAACCAAACTGATTAAAACTTAATTTTTACTAATTCCATGGGTAATATTGTCTTATTCCACTAATGCGTAATTTACATTTATTTAGCATTTAATGCAGATGATGTGTCGATCCAAG